TTCCCCAAAGCGCAAAAAGTCGCGGTCGGTGGGCATTCTACGGCAGGTGCTGTGCAACCTGCTGCCCGCGATTCGACTCCAGCTCAGCTGCTAATCTTAGGCGCCACTCAAATGGTACTAAGATCGGGGGCAAAAGTGATTCGGTATCCGAAGTTGCTGGAATCGATGTGGCTCCGCTAGGTACTTCCGCTCTGTCCGATCAAAATAAAGCAGTGGCCCCAACACCTCATGTAGACTTAACGTCCGGATTACCGGCCGATACTGGTAGTACAGATACAAATTCTGTAGTACCAAAAAGGGTTGCATGTGTTGTACCAAAAACGGTTACTTGTGTTCGGGTACCCCAGCTTAAACATGTATTTGTTTCACGGCTCGCCCCAGACCTCTCATCACTGGATATTACGGCTTATATCCGTAACAAAATCCAAGTTGATGATTTGAAGGTCGAACAATTTAAATTTTCTTATGCTAGGAAAGTATCATCATTTAAGATTGGTATTCCTTGTGCTCTTTTTGCATCTGTGTGTTCCACCAGTTTCTGGCCCGAGGGCATATTTGTAAAAGAGTACGAAGCTAAGAGAAAAAAAGAATAGTTCAGGGGAAATGGAAAACACCATTAAAGAACCATCCCCAGCGCCCTCCACATCCTCTTCTGTCCCAAAAAACTAGCCTCCTCTTTTCTTCTTTGCTATCAGAATACAAGAGGCTTACTTAGTAAGCTGACTAAATTGTATTCGGATAGTTTTTCTTTCCCATATAATATTATGGTATGTACAGAGACCTGGTTAAGGCCGGATATTCTTAGCTCCGAAATTCTCCCGGGTAAGTACACAATTTATAGGCTTGATCGTCAGTCCAGACGGGGAGGTGGAGTCCTGATTGCTGTCGACTCCACCTTTTCGTCTGAATTACTAACTTTCGAAGAATTTTATGACATCGAATTCCTAGGTATAAAATGATCGTTTCCCGGTAGTTTTGTATATATTACTTGTTCATATATCCCACCATCATCTGAGTTCCCTATTTACGCAAATCACCTTTCCGTTATTCAGTCCATTTCCAAAAACTTTCAGATCGAGATCAGTTAATATACCTAGTGCGACATGGTCTCCTAACGAAAACTCTAACAATTTACTTCCTTTAGCGCAGCATGACTTTATAGACGGCTTGCTTGACATTGCGTTATCCCAAGGGAACCATGTTAAAAACTCTTTAGGACGTTTTTTGTACTTCTGTTTTGTTTCAAATTCAGAAGGCGTTTCTCTATTAAGAACATCACCACTTTCACAACCGGAAGTTCCTTATCATCCAACTCTAGAGCTGACTGTAGACGCAAGAACAGAGCTGAATAAAAAATCCGAAAAGTCGGTTAAACGAATCCGCTGCTTTCGTAAGGCAAACTTTCATCTTTTAAATACTTTTATATCCGGCTATGACTGGTCCGAATTTTATTCATGCACTAACGTGGCTAAGGCCGTTAATATCTTTTATAATGCATTGAATTCCTTCTTTTATCTGTGTGTTCCGTTATACTATCCGTCAATTTCAAATAAACCTCCATGGTTTAATAAAGAGTTGTCACACCTAAAAAATATTAAGTCCAGACTTTTCAATAAATTTAAAATGTGCGGTTCACAATCTGCCTTCTCTCGGTACCTAAGGGCTCGGTCAAATTTTATCGTGCTTAACGCCCGGTGTTATAAAAACTATTTGACTCGTTGTAGGGTCCAATTTTCACAAGATCCAAAACAGTTTTATAATTTTGTTAACACTAAGCGTAAATCCGCCTGTTACCCTGCATCACTATCATTCGAAAACTCTACGGCAAATTCTGATCAGGCAATTGCCGATCTATTTGCCCAGTTTTTCCAGACAACATATTCTGTTTCATCCCGTCCAAATCCGTCTTATTCAAATGCCATACCCAAGTCGAACTTGATTTTTTGTCCGAGGTTAAGCGAAAGCTCCCTTCTTTTGGATCTTCATAAAGTTAAGCCTGTCTATTCACCGGGTCCGGACGGAGTTCCAGGCTGCGTGCTGAGGTACTGTGCTGAAACTCTGTGTAGACCTCTGTACAAATTGTTTACCTTGTCTTTAAAAACATCTCATTTCCCACTTATTTGGAAGGAGTCATTTGTCATTCCCCTTCATAAGAAAGGAAATAAATGCAATACAAGTAATTACAGAGGCATATCCAAATTATCCGCCATCCCAAAGCTTTTCGAAAACACAATTACACCCCATTTGCAACATCTTTGTAGATCGATTATATCTCCATGTCAACATGGATTTATAAGGCGAAGATCTACGACGACAAACCTCTTGGAGCTAACGTCTTTTGTAATAAATGGCTTTAGAAAGAACATGCAGACTGACGTAGTTTACACTGACTTTAGTAAAGCGTTTGATTCAGTAAATCACTCGCTACTTGTATTAAAGCTAGACTTATTAGGGTTTCCATGTGATCTTCTAACATGGATCTCAAGTTATCTGAGTGGTAGGACTCAACGAGTCCTCTTTAAAAACTCGATCTCTGATTTGATCCGAGTTACTTCAGGCGTCCCACAAGGAAGCCACCTTGGCCCACTTCTTTTTACTTTATTTATAAACGATCTCCCTCTAGTCTTGACAAAGTCGCGTGTCCTTATGTACGCAGATGACGTTAAGTTATGCCTGCAATATAACGAAATTTCTAGCAGTTCAGACTTACAATCTGACCTAAACGCTTTTCAAACATGGTGTTGTGAAAATCTTTTGGATTTAAATAGCGCTAAGTGCAAAGTAATGACATTTTTTCGGGTGAACCCACAATATGCAACGTATACGCTGGGTGGTTGCGCGTTGTCTAGAATTACGCATGTCGATGACCTTGGCGTCCTCCTTGACCCTAAACTTAAGTTTTGTGACCATATTACTTCTATGGTGAATAAAGCCAGGGGAGTACTTGGATTTATTAAAAGGTGGTCAAAGGAATTCGATGATCCCTATGTTACAAAGACTCTCTTCATTTCACTAGTCCGTCCAATCCTGGAGTACTGTTCTGCAGTTTGGAGTCCTCAGTATGGTGTACATATAGACCGGATAGAGTCTGTGCAAAAGAACTTTTTATTATTTGCTCTACGGGGCCTTAACTGGAATGCAAGCCTTATTTTACCATCCTACTCTAGTAGACTTCTCCTAATTAATCTACCATCCTTAGTAAACCGTAGAACGATGCTTGGCACAACTTTTATCTATAAACTTATTCACGGGGATGTGGAGAGTCCCGAGTTACTGGGTCGCATAAGCTTCTCCGTGCCTAATAGAATTACCAGGAACTATGTTCCTCTTACATTAAATATTTGTAGATCTAACTTTGATATGCATGAACCGTTTAGAGTACTGTGTAACGACTATAATAGACTATACCACATTATTTCTACTACCGACTCTTTGCCAAGCCTAAAATCATTAATTTTATCTTACCTAGCACAAAAATTAGTATTAGTATTAGTCTCGTACGTATTTGTAATCTTAGTCTGTCCGCTTCTACATTGTGCTTTTAACTTCTCGCGATCTCGTTTTTGCGCCTATTAGGCTCCGCGCGTAACAAGCACTGCTTGGTGTCGTAAGGGCCACTTGTTTGCGCTGATCATAGTGCATCAACGTCCGATATAACCTTTTGTAATTATAACTAAGAAAAAAGATATTGTGTTTACATTTTAGAGACCGTGATATGACTGTTTTTCTTAATGTGTGAAATTGACAGAAGAACGCACTTAACTTTGCTTCCATTTGCGTATACAATTTTGCTTAGCAAGACAACTTTTGAAATTTAAGCCTTTTTCTGATAGACAAGTTGTCCATATTTATCGGTAAATTACTATTACGTAAGCAGAACCCCATACTAAATTTGTATACCCTTGCAGATGGTATTGTAATTTTAATCACAAGTTTGCAACGCAGTGGAGGGCACAATTCTAAAATATCTAAAGTCCGCCCGTCTGTGCGTTTCTAGTTTTAAGTCTTTTTCTATTAAACTATGCAAAATATGCAAATGGGAAATAAAATCATAATTTCGTTGTTTCTTAAGATATCTGAATAATAGGCAAATCAACACAACTTCGGTGTTTTTAGATGTATTCTGAAATTTTTTTAAATTTATTTATTTTAACGATTGTTGACAAACGGGTTTTAATTTTTAAAAATATCGGTAAGTCTCCCAAGATTAATTGTTTTTAAGCATAAAAATCGTAATATAAAATATACAATTTTTGTAACAGCAGCAAGGGTATATAAACTACAGGTTGCTTCCTAAAATGTTAAAAGTGATTTTTAGCTATCGTCTGTACTTTGTACCCAAGAGCAAAAAATAAATTAAGTTGCTAATAAATCACGATTTTCTTGACCTTATGCAAACTTTTGAGGCTTGTATATATTAAGGTGTTTTCAATTTAATTATTACCAAGAGCATAATTATATAAAAGTATAATAATAAGAATAATTGAATAGGTAACATATGGAGCAAGTTCTTGATTTACCATGGCAACTTTAAGCGGAGTTATTTGACAAAGTTAAAAAAGTTAATCAGTGATACCCGCAATTCAAGCCCACGTTTGCTACGGATCTTCTTTGAGTAACATTTTTGGGCCAGGACGTTCCTCTCTCCTTAGATTTCGACTAAATATTAAACGACGTGAATGTTGTTAATAAATATGAATTGTTTTAGATACTTCCATTTCGTCTCCTCCTTCGCAAGACGATTTGCAAAGAGCGCACATTGTTATAATATTGTTATTAAATGGAGACAGATCAGATACTTAAAAAGCTTAAAGTATCGAAATTACATTAAATTATAGTTTATACAAAAACATATGTAAGCTTTCGTTTTCTTTGATTTTTTGTAATATTTTTAAGTCTTGATCGTGGGGTCATTTTTCGCTTTTCGGATATGATTTATTGGTTTTGATTCTTTAAACTATGACCTATGACAGAATTAGTAAGAAAACGAGCTATTTCATTATTGTTTTACTTTTAATAATTACTTGTAAATTTAAAGTTTATTGCATGCTTTAAATTGTAATGCTATAAGGTTGTATTTATGTTATTAAATATATACATATACAAATTTTTATTCAGCTGGAACCATGCTTTGATCTATATCAGGTTTTGTATCATCTGGATCCAAGCTTAAGCATTCTGCAAAATATTGCTCCATAGAAGAATATACATGCTCAAGCACACCATTTAATTCGTGACCTTCATCTGCATAAGTCTGAAATAATTTTTAATGAGTATACCATAAACAAATATTTTATATTTTACCTGATATCGAAAAAGAATATTAGCGCTTGTTAATGATTTAGCTAATTGTACTCCATGAACAAAAGGGGCAGTGGTGTCTGCCAAGCCGTGTATTAAAAAATATGAATTCGATTTTATTAGACGTGCTCTCTGAGTAGCATCTGCTTCAACATATCCTTTATAATTTTCGGTAGGCAGACCCAATATACGTTCAGTAAAGGCTGAATCTAAAAATAAATTATTTAATCGGTTGATCCAGGAGTTGTAGAGAAATAGCAAAAAGGCGGTCCCCATTAAGTTCTCTTGAATTTTATAGATTTTAAGGTTTATCTGGTAACTGTTTCTCAATTACTGCACAACGTTTTTCTTTATTATATTTTTAAAACGACTACTAGACATTAGCTCTTCAGTGTGTTTCCATGTGAAAACCTGTAAAACATAACACTTGCCCGTTCTTAAGGTTTAAATATTTGCAGCAAAATCTGGCTTTTATATACTATTATAAAAAAAAAACATAGTTAACTAGTATAAATATTTTCTTTTTGAGTTTCTTAAGAAATTGCGGTTCATTCCGAACAATTCAAACATAAACAAAAAATACGCTTTAATCAAGATATATTATTGTAATAGACTACAGTCATATAAATGGTCAAATTTTTAAAAATATTAGGCAAAAATGGCCCTAAAAAATTAATACAAACTTGCACGGCATAAGTAAGAGTCTTCAAGTTTAATATTAGAGTAAATAAAAAAATACAGGAATTAAAAATAAAAAACGAAACACAAGCAAATCGGAACTACTGGAAACTAAGTGGTGTGAGGACCGACTTTTAAACCTTTTATTTATGGTAATTTTATATCTTACTATAATATAGCCAATCTGCAATGGGAGAAATTGCAATTCCACATTTAAAAACGTCCTGTTGTGTACCGAGAACCATAGATGTAACATATCCTCCATAACCCCAGCCCCAAATACCAACTCTAGTTTCATCTAGAAAACCTATAGTATCAAGCAAATACCTAAAAAACAATTACTTTATATTAAAAGTGTTATAAAAAATATTATTTCTTACCTTAACGAAGATATTTGATCGACTACTTCCACTCCTCCTAAATGATGAAAGAGTATTTTTTTACCTTGTCCTTTGGACCCTCTAACATCTAGGCGGACATAAACAACATCGTTTCTTGATGACATATACGTGCCCCAGTCTATTTTAAATTTCTCGGAAACGGATTCAGAGCCGGGACGACCATTTCTAAAAGAAAATGGATTTATTTTTAAAAATTATTTCTTTACAAATAATTTAGATATTACGGTAATAAATAACTGTAGTAACTTTATTAGACTGTGAAGAAACTTGAGTCTTTCGGCTTGGAAATGATCAGGGAAAATTAAAATTGACTTACTATTTTATTCGACTTAGAAAAAATATTCGGTTTTGAAATTATCAGGAAAAATTTTTATTTTCGCCTAATTCAATATTAATTGCAAGGATATTCTTGACAGTAATATATTATTTTGTATATTATTTATCAAGCAGAAATGTCTCCCAAAACTATGTTTATCTGCACAGGGTGCGATTAGTTTTATGCATTCAAAATTTTAAACATGTCAGAAAAAGGATTTAGAATTCTAGAAATAAACAAATGATAAAGAATTAATAAACAATTGGGTGTTCAAAACGTCAATTTAATTTATTTTCTTTTTTTATACCCTTGCAGAGTGTATTATAATTTTGGTCAGAAGTTTGTAACGCAGTGAAGGAGACGTTTCCGACCCTATAAAGTATATATATTCTGATCAGGATCAATAGGGGAGTCGAAATAGCCATGTACGTCTGTCCGTCTGTCCGTCTGTTTCAATACCGTTTGCGAGCTCAGTTTAAAAGCTAGCGATCTGAAACTTTCACAGTCGTCCTAAAACAAGTGTACGCAGATCAAGTTTGAAAATCGCACCGATCGGATGTCTATATCCTATAGCTCCCAAAGGAACAATTAGCCTCTTGTTAATTTAAAATTTAATGATTTTTAGGATATTTCGCGCAGTATATAAACAATTGTCGTCAATCTTTCCAAATCGTATTTTTTTATGCATACCTTGATCAGGGTAAAAGCGCGTGACGAACGGACGTCTACATCCTATAACTCCCATAGGAACAATAGGGTAAAATCGGTTAAAATTTAATGATTTTTAGGATATTTCGCGCAGTATACAAGCTATTAACATGGATCTTTCCAAATCGTATTTTTTTATGCATACCTTGATCAGGGTAAAAGCGCGTGCCGAACAGACGTCTATATCCTATAGCTCCCATAGGAACCATTGGGTGAAATCGGTCCAAATTTGATGATTATTAGAATATTTCGCGCAGTGTGTAAGCTACTGACATAAATTTTTCCAAGTCTTATTTATTTACGCATATCTTGATTAGGGTAAAAGCGCTTGCCGATCAGACGTCTATATCTTATAGCTTCCGTAGGAAAAATTTTGAAAGATTGCGAAAGTATCCCTTTTTTCTATTTTTTATGACATTTTTGCAGTATAAAAGCAATTGACATGAAACGATGCAAATCTAGTTTACTTATGTATACTTTATTCCTTTCGCTACTTTTTCAGTTTTAGCAATTTCGGCAAAGTCTGCAAGGGTATTAAAACTTCGGCTTGCCGAAGTTAGCTTCCGTCCTCGTTATACCCTGGCAGAGGGTATTATAATTTTGGTCAAAAGTGTGCAACGCAGTGAAGGAGACATCTCTATAAAGACCCTATAAAGTATATATATTCTTGATCAGGTTCGCCTCCTGAGTTGATATAAGCATGTCCGTCTGTCCGTCCGTCCGTTTGTCCTTCTGTCTGTTTCTACGCAAACTAGTCTCTCAGTTTTAAAGATTTCGAATTAAAACTTTGCACACACCCTTTTTTCCTTTGCACGCAGTATATAAGTCGGAACGGCCGGGATCGGCCGACTATATCCTATAGCTGCCATACAACTGATTGATCGGAAATTTTTTATGAGTATTAAGAATGCATCATATGAATAATTTAGGATAATATAATTTACAGAATATTCTGCAAGGGTATATCAACTTAGGCTCCGCCCGAAGTTAGCTTTTCTTTCTTGTTTTTATTTCAATTTGTTTTGAAAAAGTATAACTGAAAAAATTTATTTTTCGGATAGTTTTGTCATTGGTTACGATTTTCAAAGGATATAATTTTTATACCCTTGCAGAGGGTATTATAATTTCAGTCAAAAGTTTGCAATGCAGTGAAGGAGACATGACCCTATAAATTATGTATATATATTTTTGATCAGCATCACCAGTAGAGTCGATCTAGCCACGTCAGTCTGTCCGTCGTCTGTCCGTCCGTTTTTACACAAACTAGACCCTCAGTTTTAAAGCTATCTGCTTGAAACTTTCCCAAAAGTTGTCTTTCTATTGCAGGTAATATATAAGTCGGAACGAGCCGGATCGGCCGAGTATATCCTTTAGCTGCCATATAACTGAACGATCGGAAATGCCTTGGTGTTTGTAAACTTAGGAAGTTGGGATTTTTATGAGTATTAAGATTGCATCATATGAATAATTTTGGAGAATATAATTTACAAAATATTATACAAGGGTATATCAACTCCGCCCAAAGTTAGCTTTACTTTCTTGTTTCTGGTGCTTTTAGTAAAAGTTATCTCAGTGAAAGGATTTTATAATTTTTAAAATAATGTATTTTTAATTCAAAAAACCATTATTTTAAAAAAGAATATTTTAAAAATGGTCTCTAGATCTTTTGTGTGCCGGATAAGCTATTGCTTCGACCTAAAATATTTTTGCTATTAATAAAAAAACTAGTAAGACTTACTAGCTCAGACAAATCCTGATAGAGGGAAACCAATTTCCAATTAATATACAGTCTCGGACAAGCGGGTATTGCAAGCAGCACCACAGACAATGCAAGTTACGCTAGGGGCCCAATTGTTAAAAATACATTTCGCCGTGCTGATGATCTCCTCTCTGCTCTGGACACACAGCTTAAAAGCCGTAAGATATTAGAATGTGACTAAGTGCAAAAAAAACATCTGTTGGTAAGCAGCAAAAGGGGACACCCTGCAACATCTATCAAAAGAACAGCAGAGCATTCCGGCGAATCAGCAGCTGATTGCAGCAAACCCTCAAAAGTTGCTAAGATCAGAAGCTAAATAAAATTCCGAACAATATCTTCGAATTCCGATTTGTTCGCTGTAATTAGTAGATCCACATGCCCCTCAAAAAGCTACATCGCCGCAGGGGACTACTGAGTCCGGACAACCGACTAAAGTTGGTTCTGCAGAAACAATGTCTGCTTTACCAAAATCGCTTTCTGTGGTTCCACTAAAGGAACAAATTTTCGATTCTCGGCTTTCCCCTGATCAAACATCTTCTGATGTATTGTCTTATATAACAGAGAAAACTAAATCCGATAGTTATAGTGTAAAGGTGGAAAAGTTTAAGTTTTCTTGTGCTAGAGACATTTCATCTTTCAAGATCACTGTCTCAAACGAGTTCGAAGCTAAGATAAAACAAGAGAGAACGCTATTGTCGAGTGCATCGACTATTAGATACCCGTTACTCAGCTAAACAACTTAATATAAATATGCCTTCTTGTGTTTTTTTTTTTTTTTTTTAACATAATGTGAATTATAGTGACCACAGGAAAAAAGGACAAAAAGTTCAAATTATCAATTTGAATTCGGCGATCTCTTAGTGCTGGCAGCTTTACAGCACGAGCATCAGCACCAGCGCTGCTTTAGCGCAGGCAGCTTTTGTCCTGCACCAGCAGCTGTGTTTATGTTTATGTTTTTGAGTGCAATAAATTGACTAGAAATATTAAACATACATACTTATATTGGCTAAACACATACATTCTTAAATAGTATTATGTATATTAAAGTCTAAATGTTTGCACAACACGAGTAACGGGTATAGCGAATAGCTTTCTTTGAAAGGAGTTATCTTTGCCGGGCAATTGCAACTGTGTACAATGTAAACACATACATATGTATATGCTTACATACATACACACATACGCCATTGCTTGACTCAGACCTCCAATTTGGCTAACTTGATTTAATTTGCATAGTTATTGGGATATAGTTCGGTATTGACAAATGAAAACCATCGCAATTTCCTTTAATAGAAATCCTTATTGAGAATTAACGTTGACTCTGTTGAGCACCTTGGCCAGCTGTTCCAAAGTCATCCGTTAGATGGCGCCGTGAAAGGCGGAAATGTAGGCGCTAGCCAGGCTTAAGCGTTTAATGGGTTTTTGGGCGTTAGAGTGGGCGTGGCAAACTTTTATTAGGCCAATCGATATTTATTGACAAAACAAATACATATCAATTAAAATTTTCATAATATCATGAAAACTGTGGCCACAGCTTGTGGCTTGTGGGCGTCAGAGGGGGCGTGGCACCATTTTGAAACAAACTTGCGCTGCGTAGGAACTCCTAAAATCTACATGCAAAATTCCAATCTTCTAGCTTTTATAGTTTCCGAGATCTCACCGTTCATACGGACAGACAGACGGACAGACGGACATGGCTAGATCGACTCGGCTAGTGATCCTGAACAAGAATATATATATTTTATAGGGTCGGAAACGCTTCCTTCTACCTGTTACATACTTTTGCACGAATACAATGTACCCTTTTACTCTACGAGTAACGGGTATAAAAAGGGTCCCGTGGGAGTAAAACTTCCTAGTCGAGGCCAAGCCAATATACCTTCGCCAAAAAACTAACTTCTAACCTTCTTCTTTCCTATCAGAATGCAAGAGGCTTCCGTAGCTTACTGAATTGTATTCTGATAGCCTTTCCTTTGCATCTCATATTATCGAGTTCACAGAAACCTGGTTAAAGCCGGAGATCTTTAACTCCGAAGAAGCTTTTAACGGGGAGGTGGAGTCTTAACTGGAGAGGACTCAAACCTTTCGTCAGAGTAGTTATTTTTTGAGAAATTCAATAACATTAAATTTATTTGCGTAAAGATCTCGCTCTATATACATAACTTGCTTATATATTCCTTCGTTGTCTGAACTGCCGGATTATTTTAATCACCTTTCTGTAATTAAATCTATTAATAAACGAGGACGGAAGCTATACCCTTGCAGACTTTGCCGAAATTGATAAAATTGAAAAAGTAGGTAAAAGAATAAGGTATACATAAATAAATTAGATTTGTATAGTTTCATGTCAATAGCTTTTATACTGCAAAAACGTCATATAAC